TATGAGATTGTTTAATAATGTTTTATAGCTATATTCAATTAATGCCATATAATTTTTATTCACTTACGACTAGCTTCCACAATGTTCTGTACGTTCCTACGGTCCTGTAGTCGCTGTGTCTAACTGTTTTGAATAAATTACCTGGCCATGTGAGTCTAGTGTGGCTCAGTGGATAGCGTTCTCGGACTGTGTGTCCGAGGGTTCATAGTTCCCTTTCGATTGCCGCAAAAAAGCACCCCAACCTTTGGAGTCTGAAGGTTAAATGTCACTATATAAGTGTAGCCCAACAGGTGCTGTTGATAAGTTGTTTTCCCTTTAATCTATCATCTAAAAATTAGGAAGGGCTCTATGCAGATAGCCCTTGTGTAGTTTTGCATGTAAATTATAAAATAAATAGACATATTTTCAACATATGATACAAATAGAAGTTCAAAGGTCAAGTATATGATGTTATTTGAGTAATCGCTGGTGTAATTTAGAACTTCGATTAAGCATTTTTTCAGTACATATATATTATCTCCTGATATGCTTAAAAACTATTTTTTCTACAGGGTGGCCATTTCGCAAAGCTCTGGATGTTGGCTAGAATCCGTGCGTTACCACAAAATATTCCCCGCATACTTTAAGCTGTAAGTATGTATAAAATTGACAGTCAGTCCTTAGTGTGGATGGTAGTGTGCTGTTGACTGAATTTCTTTCCCCTGGTTAATAGTTTCAAAGTAGGAACTGTGGCAGATAAATCTTAGTAGCACCCCTCCCCAGAGGTTCCACATTAAGGATGAGGGCTCACACCGCTATAAACCGGGTTGCGATACTCGTGGTGGGTACAGCACAGATAACCAACTGTGTAGCTTTGTGTTTCACAACAAACAAAAACAAAAAGGTCTCAATAACTTTGCCATAAAATTAAAATACAAAAAATATATATTTTTGTTGGCAGAATTCTGCTATATCTTCTAAGGTGCGGCCATGCGGTATTTACGTTAGCGCAAAATAGCTCCACTAATTTTGTGTTTCTGCTATAAGATAATGAGACTTTCTATTGGGGAAAAGTTTGATATGCATGAATTCTAAACTGGTAAAAAACGTCGCAAAAATCACAACATGTCAATTCAAAATTAAGTTTGTCATCGTCACTTTTAGTATTTCTTAATTTACTTTTTCTACCTTTACTTTGTTTTTATACACGTACAGGTGCGTTTTGTCTTTTTGTAGCCTCACTTTTATCAGCCCCCCAAATGGCACAGCGGTATGTCTGCGGACTTACAACACTAGAATCCGGGTTTCGATACCCGTAGTGGGCAGAGCAGAGATAGCTCATTATGTAGCTTTGTGCTTAATTACAAACAAACACTTTATCTTTTTACAGGTCGCCGGTGTGGTTGGAAGAGCTGAACTCCTTTCAGCTGTCTTCTTCCTGAGTGCCTTGTCTCACTATGTGCGTCATAGACAACGTCATGACTACGTAGGTAAGGCATTGTTTCACGTATCACGTTGCATTGTAACAAAACAACACAGATATGCTTAATATATCATATATGATATAAGATTTTTAACAACATGTACCATTCTCTATAAACAAGGTAGCAAACAAGCTATATTATTATTTTAATTTTGAACTGATGCAAATAAGATCGCCAAAACAATGGAATCGGGTTTTACTATGCCAAAGAAAAGCGCACAGCTAACTAAATTACAGTTGTAAAATAACATTCAGACTTATGTTTAATATGTAAGAAGGGACAAAAATAGACTAAGACCGTAGTTTTAAATACATTGTTTTAATTAATTATACTAGTTTTAGATATACCTTGAGATGGTTAGTATCTTGTTTTATCAAAATAATTATAAATACTTTTATTTAAAATATTTGACTGATTTATCACATTAATCTCTATGATGGATATTTCCAAAACTTATTCATTTCAATTAAGATTAAGTGAAATGGGAAGTTTTTTGTTAATCAATACACCACTTACTTCAGGTCAAATCGTATTATTATTTTACCTATATTCACTTACTACTTTACTGAGGAGCTTCATCAAATTCATCGATAGGTGGTGTGATTATAATATTACTTTAACTATAAGGCTTCTAAATCTACCAAAAGTATTAATTGCGAAAAAGTAGGCTTAGCTTTGTATCAGTTGTAGCAAGATTGGAATCTGTTCCAAAACACATATGCAAACTGCTAAAGCAAAATAATGCTATAATGAACGTGTTGTTAAAACACCGGACGAGAGCTGAGAATTATACGTTAAAACACCGGACGAGAGCTGAGAATTATACGTTAAAACACCGGACGAGAGCTGAGAATTATACGTTAAAACAACGGACGAAACTGAGAATTATACGTTAAAACAACGGACGAAACTGAGAATTGTATGTTAAAACAACGGAAGAAGTTGAGAATTATACGTTAAAACAACGGACGAAACTGAGAATTATACATTAAAACAACGGACGAAACTGAGAATTATACGTTAAAACAACGGACGAAGCTGAGAATTGCCATCTTAGTTATCTAATATGTGTCTAATAACTACGCGTAATATATTTTTTAAAGAAATTGTTTCTTTCATTTCGACAGTGTTGCTATGGATGTATAGCTAAATTGTTTTGACATAGCAGGGCATAATGTAACATAATTGTAATAGTATCCACGATACATACCTCGGGTGAATCTAAAACAACAAGGGCTAAGCATGGCCTAGTGATTAGCGTGTTGTGCCGCGGATCGAAGGGTCCGAGGTTTGAGAAGT